TCAAGTCCCTTATATAAAATGGCATAGTATTTGTATGTAACCTATGCACATCCTCCCATAAACTTCATTTTATTTTTATTTTTAATTTTTTTGGCATCTGGCCAGTTTGGGGATCCAAACCCTTGACCTTGGTGAACACCATGCTCTAACCAACTGAGCTAACCAGGCAGCCCCTCCCATATATTTTAAATCATCTCTAGATTACTTATAATACCTAATACAATGTAAAGGTTATGTAAATTAGTTGCTATATTGTATTTTTTGTTTGTATTACTTTTTACTGTTTCTTTTTTTTTTCCTGAATACTTACTTATAATACCTAATACAATGTAAAGGTTATGTAAATTAGTTGCTATATTGTATTTTTTTGTTTGTATTACTTTTTACTGTTTCTTTTTTTTTTTTCCTGAATATTTTTTACCTGCAGTTGGCTGAATCCACAGATGTGGAACCCACAGATACTGAGGACCAACTGTACATGTTAATGTTTAAGGAACACATGACAAATAGATTATATTACAATATTAAAGTAAAAGCATAGAGAAGCAAACAAATCACTAGCGATACTGAGGACCAACTGTACATGTTAATGTTTAAGGAACACATGACAAATAGATTATATTATAATATTAAAGTAAAAGCATAGAGAAGCAAACAAATCACTAGCTGTCCCCAAATCACTAGAACTATAAAATGCTACAAATGTTTTGCTAACTCAAAATAACAAAATATGCTGCTTAACATATAATCAACATAAAGTGCAGATAAGCACCCTACAGACTCTGATGCTGTAGATCTGACACCTTGAGAAGCACGACCCTAGAGGCCATGCAAAGTTGAATGCCACTGTACACATTAATCACGGCGGCAGCATTTGTGTGTCGGAGACACTCTTGAATGTGGGTACAAAAAATAATAATAGGAAAATGTTCTGCAATTAGATGAGATAACAGTTACACAACTTTGCCAGTATTCTAAAAACCACTGGATTTTATGGTAAGTGAATTATATATCTCATTATTTCTCAAAGAAAAATAAGGGTCTGAAATAAAGAAGACGACTGAACATCAAAACTAGGAGCTTTACTCAGACAAGCCACAGACCACCCATGACTGAGGCATCGGTAAGAGGTGGTTGATTGTATCCGCACACAGCAGCGGCTAAATCTTGGGCTCCCTATGTCGCTGATGGAGCCTTGTGAGGTAAACACAGCGCACCACGACAGACTCACAGTTTCTGTATTTCCAGGGAAAAATGCCGAGTTTGAGCAGCAGACAGACCGCGGTGACATGAGCGCCCACCTCTGTAACCTGAGGTGCTTTACAATCGGTCGGGCACTCTCACACCTCTGCGTCCGTGAATTAGGAAAAGAGCAGAGTACCGACAAAAACAGGTGGATGGGGAACTTTCAAGAACTCCCTCTTGGAGTGGCCCCGAGGCTGCCAGGACGCGGTGTCCTCAGCCTGGGAGGGCGCAGGGGCTGGGGAAGGAGGTGGTCGGAGGTTTGATCTGGGATTTCCATCTGGGCTCTTCGGGGACGAGGGTGCTCCCGCTTCGGAAACGAAGTCGAGCGAAGTCGAAGGGGGCTGAGCGGGTGGGGAGAGATCTTTCGTCCAAGTTCACAGCCCCCACCCTCCTCCATACCCGACACTTACCTCGTCAGTGTCCCGGAGGGGAATCTCGATGGAGCCCCGCGACATGATGAGATCCGAAGGCAAGCGGGCGTCTCGCTCCGCCGCTCCGCAGCCGGCCGTCCTCGCTTCTCGCTTGTCCAAAGCTTAGCGACGTCTCGGACTCTGGTCGTGACTGCCGCCCCGCGGCGCAGCCGGATCTCCGGCGTCTCCTTCTCGTCAGCCTCTCAAACAACGAGCCGCGGACGGCGTCTGACCACTTCCGGAGGCCCCGCCCCCTGTCCCGGAAGCACTCCCGCGGGAGGGCGTTTTCGACGTGAGCTCAGCCTGTGCCTCTGGTCTTCTCTTACTTTGGGATGACAGATCCGAGGCTTTCGATGGCGTGTCGCCTGTAGGTGATTCGAGAGCCTAAAGGACCTCCGGGGCTTGCCACTTCGGAGTCTGAGCCCAGCGCTGGCGCGGGTCCGAGTAAACGCTCCGAAGGCGTGGCCGTCCGTCCTGCGGTGGGCGGGGCCTCTGACGGACTGGATCTTTGTGGGATGGGCCTGGCCAATCTTGTTTTCTTCTCAAGATTGTTGCGGATAATTCATTCTTTCCACAATCCAATCATTAGTTCATCGTTCAGCCACTGTTCTGTGCGCTATACCGGTGATGCCTTTGTGTCCAGTTTAAATAGAAACGTTACAGTGAATTCTGTAATCA